TTGTTGAAATGAAAGCGGCGGAACTGACGTAGTAGAAGGTCCTTGACCCTGAAGGTATATAATGTATATATAATACTGCATGACTGCCCCATTCAAAATAAATAAAGTTAAATTTGAAAATAAGTATAAATTTTTCAATAACCACATCATTGTGTAGTTATAACGTGACGCCTGAGGAAAATACATACATGGTAAGAGGCAAAACTACTTTTTCATATTCTGTTCATCGTTCCTCGCTCGACTGGTTACGGAAAAGAGAATTTGATGAAGTCGTATTGCGAGTCTTAGGTTCGTAGGTCACACCTGTGAGTTGACGAACAAGAAGTGCATCTGGAGGAATGTGAAGAGACCGTGGAGCACTGGATGGATGAAGACGACGTCATTGAGACACGCACCTTCCATCATGGAATGCATTGCCATCTCCAGGCCATTGAATACCAAGGTCCCAAGACCAAACGCTGCAACGTCACATAAAAAGTCATCTCATTAAACGCATGGTACCGGCTGATTATAAACAGCAAAGAAACAGGTTCTGTTTCCTAATCAACCTGAAGCTAAGCTTTCTGATCATGGACCTCCGAAACGTCGGTAAAGTTCAGCTGTCTCTCTCTCTCTCTTTCTGAAAGTAACTTACCCAGAGCACCAACACGCAGGTAGAAGCTGGTGCCTGAGGTTTTGGCTCGCGAGATGTGAGCTCTCTTCAGGGAACCGAACCTGGCGAGAGTCAGGCCGCCGCCTAGCTCGGCGTCAGGATCACCCGCTGTCGCGGCGTTGGCAGGCGACGTCACTCTGTGAGTCGTCGCCATCTCGTTTTGGGAGTTCAGCGAAGAACAGCTGTCGATCAGCACCCAGATGTAGATGCATATGATGACGGCAATGCTGCCCACGTACAGGTACATCAGGAATATCCCCTGGAAAGAAGTTAGGTTATGTTCGTTCAAATACACGACGACAAAATGGCGAACGCACGTATTACTAAGTTGGAAAATGATTGTGAGACGGTGGCAGGAGGTGAGGGTGAGAAATATCATATACGGTCAGCACCTATTACAGCAAATTTAACAATTTACTAAATGTTTCTTTTCAGCGCTTTGGCGCGTAACCCAGAATATCAACATCTTCAAAAATGTTGATGATGTTCAAAAAGCGCACATTATTTATAATTTTGAAAAATTTAAAACTCAAAAAAGAGTCTGAAATTTTGAAAAAAATTCGTTTTTTATAACACCATTGAAATTTCTGTACGTTTTTAAAACATTCCAAAATTTTAAAAGGCGTTCCACAAGACACAAGGGTCCGGCGGAGGCCAGGTCCAGCAGAGACTGGGTGCGAATTTAAAAAAAAAATCAAAATTTTAAAATTTTTCGAAAAATCAGCAAATGTTGGAAATTGCTCAAAATGCGCACAATACCATACAATTTTGAAAATTTTCTACTTGAAAAAGTTTTGAAAATTTTTCGTTTAATACGTTTTTTGACATTTACGACCGTTTTTAAATTTTTGAAAATGTTCGAAATTTGAGAGTTGTTCCACCAGGCAGAGGCCGAGTCCGGTAGAGACGGTGGGAATTTTGAAAAACGTTTCAAATTTATAAATATTTCCGGAAAATCAAAAAATCTTGGATAATGTCCAAAAAGCGCACAAAACTAAAACTTTTTGTAAAATTACGACTTCAAAATTTTTTAATTTATTTTGTTATTTTCGCTTTTCATGACATTATGACCATTTATAATAAGTGTGGGTCCGACAGATAGCATGGGTGGGAAGGAATTTTAAAATAATTTTAATTTTTTTTACAAATTTTCGAATTCAAAAATGTAGGAAAATTTTCAAAAAGCGTAATTACAAATTTCATTTTTTTTGCCCAACTATCTTAAAAACCTTCGTTATTTGCGCTTTTTAGACAATTTCCAGCGTTTTTTGATTTTTCGAAAATTCTGATAAATTTGAAAATTATAAATAAATCCCTGACAGACTCGGTGTGTACCTCAACCGGTCTCTTTCGGATCCGGTCCTTGCAGAGACGGGTTGTGTCAGGTTTCGGGTGGGGTGAATTTTGAAAACAAAATTGGAAATCTTCAAAAATTAACAACCTGCCTGCATCCCTAAGAGCGACAAACACGCTTTGGAGTGTTCCTTCATCCAAGCAAAACAACAGATCTCACTCACTGCTTTGAGCCGAAGACGTTTCAGAGGTAATTCCTGCCTCCATCATCAGGGATATCACTCATCGCCCTGATGACGGAGGCAACATCCCAGAAGACACAACGATCACGTAAAACCTGTAAACCGACCGAACTAGCCGACATAATCGTGCACCGTACCTGGAGGCTCAGCAACTTGATGGAGTTGTCCATGACCTCGGTAACGCAAAAGGTCAGCATCACGATCACCACCAGCTTCCCGTACAGAGAGCTCAAGAGGACCCATAACTGGCAACTGAAACAAGGGACAAGATGGCGTCGAGCGCTGGAAGACAACTGAACTACGATGGGCATGACGTCATATTTGATCACGACTGTCAATAACAATCCTTTGAAAATGTTAATGGGCCCCAGAGGCTAGAGGAAAAATCCCCTGCCCCTGTCGGGGATCGAACCCCTGTCCGTAGTCAATATGACCCCAGCGCCCGAAGGACTCACAAGGACTCGGTGTGGTCCAGCATGTCGAGGGCCGACGTCCTGCCTGACGTAAGGATGTCAAGCAGAGAGCGACCGCCTCGTAGCTTCGGTCGGCTTTGGTGACGTCGCTGTTTGTTCAGTTCAACCGGCGTCGTCGTCGTGGCCTGCTCCGATACAGGATTCGCGTCGTTCAAGCTGTCCCGCTCGGGCTGGTCATTGTGAACTGCAACAGAAATGAGAGTCGTTTCATATATTATTCCAACTCCGGCGAAATCCGACAGATGGCAGTAAACACCACCGACTGATCCCTACGAATCTTTGCACAGAAATACAGATCTATAAGTAACGTACAAGGTAAACACACTTGTTGTATGTACTCAAATGAGATTTGAGGTTATGACGACTACGAGAACGAATATGGCTGTCTTCTGGTTTGTAGCGCCGTTTCCCTGAACATGAAACTAACAAATAAACATATTTCCTAACCACTCTTTACACTGGTACATTAGTTTTAAGCTCCGGTTACTTTTATAACCCCCACGCCCTGGTAGCCAGTGGAAAGATTCTGGGTATTCAGAGATTCAAACTAGAGACTAGAAACTTTGAAGCAGACCAGTATTCAGAATAAATGTTTTAAAAGCAGATAAAGGCGAGTGGTCACTTCTTACATGAAATACTTAGGGATTCACGGACAAAGATTATCATTAAAGCACCGTTCTCTACCGGAAGTAAACTGAGTCATGAGGTAATATATTCCCAGGTCGTGCAGTTCCGTTACACTTCGGGCCCGGCCGGCTCCACGCGCCTGCGCACAACCAGGTGCTCTATTACCTTCAGTCAACAGTCTAAACCGCATCGCGCAGGCGCCAAACTTCGAGCGATCCACGCTCATGAAATTACATGGCCTGTCATTCAAACGAACCCTAATCATCGGCGTAATAGAATTAAATTGTTGGATCTCAACGTTCATTAACTCTTGTCGGTATCATCACAGAGACATCGAGTGACGGCTTTGAATTCTGTGGGCATCACAGAGACATCGAGTGACGGCTTTTCTGTGGAAATGAGATGACAGTCTAACTGGTAATATTATGGTTAAATTACAGGTTCTTAAGGTCAGAGATTTTCCTCTGTGATGACTGGACATAATTGACAAGTCGTCAGTAATAAATAGTACAAATAGACAGTAGGAGAAGCCTCTGTAACAATAACCAAGGCAGATGGCTCAGTCGTACTAAGTGGATTTTTCGTGGCTGGAGTTTTATCTCCACGCCCTACGTGTCTCAATGTCACAGTTATCAGGCGCAGATATAAAAACACGTTCCTATTTTCAAATTTCGCGGGTTTTTGATAGAAATAACGGACTTCCCGGCCCTGAGGCAGGAGTGACGAGGTAAGAGACAAATGCAAAGCAAACAAAACCAACTCGAAACACGTTGAGTAGCTGGAGGGTGGCTCGAATCGAAAGAGAAGAGTGGGGATCAGGAAGGAATTCGTCGAAAGCGAGAAACCACGTAAGGCCTACTTTAAACAACAACAAGAAAACTGAGAAAATTACTTTGAATGAGTCGATTCAAGTGAAATTATTTTACAATCCGTTATCACACTGAACGAACACGATTTAGACGAAGATGGCTGCCTTCTTGGAGGTTAACGTCGTGGAGTGTGACAGAAGTTTATCGGATTTTTACCAGAGGTTCCTGCTGCCTCCTTCATCGAGGCCGCTGGTTCGAAACGCACCACATTAAATTATGTTAGCAGTTTATTTAACGACGCCTTCAATTATTCAGTTCCACAGCTTTCAATGTTTGAATGAGTAATGATTACGTTTAAACGAGATGACGAAAGTTTCCAGCCGGAAATCACTGTTTCACATGAGAATTAAGTTAGGTTAGGTTAGGTTTTATAAAAACATTCTAACAAAGCAATTATTTTTGTGTGTTGAGCGCGAGACGCTGTTGGACTGGTTCGCATGAGATACGACAGATGTCACTAAAGTAACTTCCTCCTAGGTCAGTCACGCATTAAGTCAGGATCCCAGTGACACGGCACGCGCGGTGTGACCTGGGGGAGGGGGAGGGCACAAACTACAGCTGATTTTAACTGTACTTTACGAATCAAGTCATAATTCACAGGAAACTGCTTCATGGTTGCGGATAGAGAATTTCTAGCGCTGAGTTCGTTTCTTTTATGAAATCCATTTTTGGCGAACGGACTGGAAGGCCATGGATTCAAAATGGTTTCTTCCGACACCAAACATCGAGGAGCGTGGTTAGTCCTCCTGCTTCGTATTATTATACTGGCAGGAATGTGATTAAGAAGGAAAC